TAAGAAAAGTCTAAATTAAAATTTGACATGATTTAGAATTACTTCGTATAAGGTTATTATTGATTATGATATTTATATTTAAGTATTGTTTATTTCATTGAACTTCACTAGAATATCTTTGAAAAAAACAAATTTTGAAATTTGTGTACCTTTTGTTTGAGAAATAAATTTAATATATATATAGTAAATATTAATGTAGCTTTTAAAAATATAATAATTGATGTTATATCACCTTATTGATAAATATTTTAATACATATGTATTATTTATAAAAATTTAAAATCTTGGAAGTAAATATTTTTAAAGCATTTTTTGAAAATACTTGATATTAGATAGTATATAAGTATTTGAAAAACATGTGTAATAAGAGATTAAAAAAAAGTTACCATCAGATTTTAATTAAATTATACTTATTTCTTTTATATCAAATCCAATTTTTTTGAATTTATTTCAAATATTAATTTGATATCATAATTTGAATAAGTAATTAAAAAATTATGAATAATTTAATATATATATATATATATATATATATATATAAACCATATGTAAATAAGATATCAATTCTTACTATTAAATTTGAAATATTTTTGACCAAATTATTTTTTATAAATTTAAGTAGACTTATGATTTTTTATTTAAAAATTATAAATATACACGTAAAAATATATATTTAAATTATTAAAATAATAAATTATCAATATAAAATTGTTTTCTAACATTTAATTATATCAGTTTTTGTAAGTATATTTACTACTTAAATTAATAGAAGTAGATAGAAGTAGGTTTTAATAGATTCGATATGGTAACACTTTATTAAAATAATTTAAAAAAAGCTTCTATGTACAAATTAGATCTATATATGTCCCATAAAGCTATAAAAAACTTTTTAAGAAGTTTTATGTTTCATTGAAGTGACATAAGAAATATCCTTTAACTTGAAAACTTTGCCTACAAGGATTGTTGTTTTTGAAGAAATTCCACGTTATTTTTTTATTATTGTTATTTTTTTTCTATTTAATATATATAGAAGCAACACTCAGGTCATATTTAAACTTATCAATTCATTTTTTGTACTCTAGTATTAATTGAAGTTTCTTTAGACTTTTATACTTGGTAATAGTCATTTCTATATGTTATTTTCTTATAAATATGTTTCCTCTTAGCAATGTATTTGATAAAATTTCTATATATATATATATATATATATATATATATATATATATAAATATATATATTTCTTTTTTTCATAAAAATTCATATTTTTGATTAAAATGTGAAAAAAAGAAGATGAAGTATATCATGTTTAGATACCATTAAGTAGAATCTTGTTTTATTGGTATATTTAAATAACTTATTTCTTAAATACCAATCTACTTCCACTCCAAATAATTAGTCTTATATTATAAGCATATCTTGTAAAAAATACTATTAAAAAATATAATTCTATAAATTTTACATATTTAATATTATTCTAATATTTACTCAATTTTTAAGTTCTAAAAATTATTCTTCTTTAAAAGATTGGTATATTCTAAATCATTTTTTGTTTAAGATTTTAAATTATATTTTATTTTATTGTATTTAATATTTTCATTTTTTATTAAGAAGAATAAAATTACATCAATATTTGCAACAAAATTTAAAATAAACTAATAAACAAATCTAATAACTTATTTGTACCATATTTATATCTTACTAACATAATTTGATATTAGTGGAACATTTTTTTGTACTTTTCTTTAAAACATTATCAGATGAATATATAGAAAATGTATATAAAACACATTTCAAAGATATACTTTTTAAACTCAAAAATAATTTTTGGTATTTTAAAAATTTACTTATTTTAGAAAAATATTAAATTAAGCAAATAGTAGATATTATTACTATTGAAAAAATTATTATTAACACTATGTGCCTTATTTGACCAAAAAACATTTGACAACATCCAATTCTAAAAATAACAAACCCACCATGCTTTGGATTAAGTATTGATATTTTTAGCTATGTACATGAGTCAACATAATAAGTTTTGATTGTTAGTATCTATGTTTGAAAAATATCAGTTAAATATAGCATTTACTACTTGATGTCTGTAACTGTTTTAAAGCTTTACAAAAATATTCAAAAACAAAAAAATTGTTTTGTTTAATGTATATATATATACACCTGTCAAACTTCTTGTTAAATTTAATGTGTATTGCATAATTATTTTATATTTATTAGTTTTACTAGGAATGTTTTAGGATAAAATGTAATAATTCAATAAAAAAATAATTGATTTAAAATAAAATAATCCATTGTAATAAGTGATCTGATTTTATTTAGAACAATTAGATAATGGCATCTCCTTATAAAGTGCATGCAATATATATATTTAAAAATTTAATTCACATAAATTTTTATTAAATGAGTTTTTGAAGCCCAAACAAAATCAATAGTAATTTTTTTAAAAAAATATTTTTAATTACAATCATTTAAATTATTTACGTAATTATTAATTATGAAAATATAATCAGTTACTTGTGTATATGAAAACTTGCATATATACAAGAACCATAATTAAAAAATAAAAATTTTATTTAATTATTCATTATCAAATATATTACAAAATATAATTAAGAATATAGTGATTTTAAAACAATCAAAGTTTTCAAAAATAATTATGATTTAAAATTTTAAAATTTTAAAATAATACCCTTTCTCTCATGATTATTTATTTTAAACCTTTATAGTTTTATGGTACATATTTGAGTTTTTTTCCAACAGTTTTAAAATATCTTATAAAATTATTTGTCTAATCTTAACTTCAAAAATATATATCAATAACTTAAATATGTATAAAATATTTCTTAAAATATTTCTAACTATAAAAGAGTAAACCAATTTATATCTAAACCACAATTATAGACTAAGAACAAATAACATAATAAATAGAATAAAATATAATAAAATACTAGATTGGAATCAAGGTTAGGTAATAATAGATGATTGAGGCATTTCTTCGATTGTTCATATTTTGCCTAAGCAAAACAAAATTACATTTATTTTTCCCCTTAATTGTATATAATGACAACCAAGTTCTAAATTTGTTTCAAATGAGATTGCTAAATCCATGGAATGTCCTGTGAGTTTTAAGAATTTCTATGAAAGACTTGGAATAACTACAGGAGAGTATGAAAGTTTCCAAATGAGTAGAAAAGTTATCAGTAGTCTATCAAAAGTCTTGGAATCTTATAGAAATTTTCATCACGTGCAAAATCTTCTAGTTCTAAATTTGTTTTTGTTTTTGTTTTTTTGTTTTTTTTTGTTTTCTTTTTCTTTTTCTTTTTCTAAAAGTAATATGAGCATTTCTGAGGATATATAAGTTTTATTAAACTTTTGATTAAAAAAAGATGATTTAAGTTTTATTTTTTAAAAAAGTTTATAAAAAAAAATCAATTATTTTATTATAGTATAATGTTTCACAGATTATTTATTAATAATCCAATATTAAAACTTTTTATTTATTAAAAAATATGTAATTCTCTTTCAAACTATTAAACACAAACCTATTAGAGATTTTTAAAATTACACATAAGCATTAAAAACATCATTTGATATATATATATATATATATATATTCATACATACATACATACATACATAGTGTTATTATATCATAATTTAAAAAAAAAAAAATTCTGTAATATATTTTAGCATGAAAGATTTAAAAAATATGAACATTTTCTTATAATTTTTAAAGTTCAATACACAATTAGATGTATGAATATATATATATATATATATATATACACATCCATACATACATATATAAAAATATATATAATTATATGTATAAATTTTTAGATTCTACTAATTTTTTTTATGTTTCTCTAATTATAAATATATTGTTTCTAGAGTAATCTCCACTAGTTTAGAATTTCCAGTACATTATTTTAATAATTATTTTATTTTTGTATTGTTTCAGGATATTACAATTCTTTCAGGAGTGCTCTAATAGCAGACATACCAATGTAATAATCTTGTTTAAAATATGCTTTTGAAAAATAATACAATTTGCAATTAAACATGAACATGGTTTCAAAGAAGACTTGTAAAGATTTATGCAAACATAATCCAATTACATTGAATGCATATTGAATTTTAGCTCACATGATAAACTATTGAAATCAAAACCAAGCCACTAAAAACCTTGCTATTAAGTGATTCTTTCGTAATAAACATGATTTAAAAGAAAAACCCATATGCCTAAATGAAAGGTAAATGATTTTATGATAAATCAACGTCATTGTTGAATTTTATGCAATTGTGGAAAAATAATCCTACCCTTTAGGAATCTAGTCAAAGTTTTTGCCCTAAAAAACTCATCAATTCGTATTAATCCACGCAAACAATTTCATTCGAATTTAATTCACCATATTCGAATGCCCCTAACCGCTCTGAAACTAAGCCAGCCAAAGGGGAACACTTGTCCAACCAGAGCATGTACACCCAGCATAGATTCTTCACCGATAGATTCGACTTTGAGAGCCGTGCGCATAGGCGCTATTATTTAGAGGGCCCTTTTGGGAGGGGCGCTGATTGTGTCCGGTGGGGCCGGTGAGGAGGAAGAAATCATTGCCGGGCTAGGGGGAAGCTGCCCGCGTTGATTACCGGCGGGCATGACCCCATGACCGCGGGAACCGCGAAGGATAAAACAGCGGGAATGTCGCTAGATTTAGCGGGAATAAATTCGTGAGGTGACCAGAGCAGATCCTCCGCCAGGCATGCAGCGCTAGACCCCCAGCAGAGATTCGTCACCACCAATAGCGGAGGAGGTGGGTTTCGCAATCCCGTGGAGGCTACCGGCTAAACCAGTCTCCGCAATGCGTCGGCCATCGTTTGTGTCAACTTGGAACGGAAGGGGGGGGGGTGTGTGCGTGTGAGCGAAGATTTTTAAATTTAGCCGAAGGCCAGCGTGCGGAGGAGATCGACGATGCCGAAGGCGGCGATGAAAAGGTGTAGAAAAGGTGTCGCGGCGGAGCATTACCAAATTAAGAGCGAACGAGATCACAGGCGAGGAGAACAATAGACAGGGATAGTGCGCGGCTCATGTCATTATTGCTTGGAGGATGGAGGGATGGCTTAGTGTACAATGTATGTATGTAAGCAAGCTCTGGTGTGTACGATCCGCTTGTTCACTCGCGTCGTCTGCCTCTGCCGTCTGACTTACTTGCGTTCGTCTTGCTTGGTATCATCAGTGCGCCGTTGCGGTGCCGGGAGAGAGCATTTTTGGACGTGGAGGGGGGGAGGGGGCTAGCTGGAGGTGCGATGTGAGGTTACATTTTTGGTTTGGTACGTTGGGCTTCAGAGCGGCGCAGTGCAGAGCGCGGCAGGTTCGCAGCAGGGTAGTGCCAGAGCGAGAGCAGAGGAGAACGTGTGCTCTGTGGGGCGGTCTGTGTGAGGCTCTGCGAGGGCCGTGCCTGTTGCTTGCCCCCCCACCCCTCCTATCGTTCTCTGGCTGGGTTCGTCATGGGTGAGCGAAGTGAGTTGGAGGAATGTTGTCATAGCCATGGTTCCTTCGTCTGCTGTAGGTTTTGATGTGCGTAAAGGAGGGTATGATAGTGGTGGGAATCTGGGAGGTGGGAAACAGCATGGCTTCGCGACAGATCCTGCATTGTTGTTTTGATAGCTACTGAGGGTAAGGGGAGAGTCTAAGAAGGAGGCCTAGGGGGGTTGCGAGTGTGGAAGCGCCTTTTTGTGGATTGTCCGTGGCGGCTCTGAATAACAATCCGACAGGGATGAGGGGGAGCAAGGGGGTGTCCGCGCATCAGCTTAGCAATGGGTTGTTTGTATCGGGGCAGCCGGATCGGGGTAGGGATAAGGGGTCGATCATGGGTGTGCCGCAAATGCCCTACACGGGTGGTGACATCAAGAAGTCGGGGGAGCTAGGAAAAATGCTCAACATTCCGGTGGAATCGACTGCGTCAGCCAAAGCTGGGGGACGGAGGTCTGGCGGGCCGCTCACCGGCTCCTCGTCGCAGCGGTCATCCAACACAGGTGCAGCGTCGTCTACTCATTCTGGCCCGCTTCCTGGTAATGGGACCGCTCGCAATGCATTTTCATCGTCGGGTCCTTTGAACTCATCCGGCACGCCAGCGCCCTGGGTTCCGGGGAAATCTGCGGGCACCTTCTCGGGTCCATTCATGGGAGCTGCTACTCAAGCACAGCAGCAGCATGGTCATGGTAGTACTGGGGGTTCTCAATCCGGGCCATTGGGACGCAGTGCAGACTTGAGCGGCAAAGTTGGTGTAACGGTGGCGAAGCCCGTGTCAGGGCCTTTGCAAGTATCCAATTCTCTGAAAACGTCGGGGCCGCAGCAACAGGCACCAGTGCTTCCAGCTACAGGCCTCATTACTTCGGGTCCTATTATAACGTCTGGCCCATTGACATCCACAGGCGCTCCGCGGAAAGGTCCCTTGTCTGGACCGCAAGACGCTTCGGCGTCGATCTTAGCAGCAGGGGGCGGTTCAGTGAAGGTTGGGGAGAGTGGCCGTCCTAGCGGCAACTCCCTTGCCATTAACAGCTTAAGCAACGCCCATGAGTATTCTTTTCCGAAAAACTTTCCACGAATGATCATATACACCCTCATACCTTTATTCGTCATCGGTTTCATTGCGGGAGCCTTTATATTTGCGGCTGTCAAGAACGCCATTCTTCTCTTTGTAGTGGCTGCGCTGTTTGGCGTGGTGGTAATTCTTCTTGCATGGAACACTTTTTGGGGTAAGCAGGCCATTTACGGATTTATGGCTAAATTTCCCCATTCTGACCTTTCCACAGCTAAAGATGGTCAATTGGTGAAGATAACAGGGGTGAGCCTTTCAACTTAAATCAATGATCCATCTCTTCTTTCATGTATGTACTTTTACCATGTTCTAATCTACAAGTTGGTTTCATTTTCAAAACTTGATCCCGATCTCGATTTTAAAGGAGAGAGGGTTTTCTTTGGCAACCTGCATGTTGGTTTAGTGAATATAGAACCAATTCCTGAAGTCGTGAACAACCTGGAATCTTGATAATCTGAACGAACGTAGTATTTTGAAGCCATATTTTAGCGTTTTCTGTTGATGTTCCTACCTCTCTATGTGAGGATGAGCTCAAGCATGCACCTCGTTCTTATTTTCGTTCGATGTCATGATCAGCTCTTACAGAGCGTAATGTTTGTGGGTTAAGTGTTGATTTTTCCTCCCCATTGGAAACTTAGAATGGAGTTGCGGATAATTGGTCTAATCTGCCCAGGTGGTCGCTCTGGTGTACATTAAACGAATCTCTCTTTGAGGTTAATGATATATGCTGATCAAGACTTTTGAAGCAGGCACAAAGTAGTAGCCAAGAGAGTGGTAATTGACTTTTGTAAGCTTGGCAGGTTGTGACCTGTGGAAGTGTTCCGCTGGAGTCATCTTATCAGAAGATATCCCGATGTGTATATACATCTACGGGTCTCTTCGAGTATCGACATTATTCTTCCAAGAAAGCTAGTGAGAAACATCGGCGGTTTACTTGGGGACTGCGGCATGGAGAGGTATGTCAATTGGATGTGGAATGTACTAGATACGTCAAGGATCACCAGAGGTTAAAGGAGGGTGAATTAATCAAGACTTATTCAACGAGAATTTGCTTAACTCTGCAACTTAGTGGTGGCTGTGAAAGACAGGAAATAAGATAGGATGCTCACTCTTGCAGTCCGACGTCAATTTGAAAGGGAACTAAAGCTTCTTTATTTCTTGAACTGCTCCAATGACTGAACCGTATCCAGATTAGCTGACATTCTTTCAATGTAACAATATCTTGTTCTCAGAGATATGTCGTAGATTTCTACATTTCCGATTTTCAGACAGGTCTTAGAGCCCTGGTGAAAGCTGGCTATGGAGCTCGGGTGATTTCTTATGTTGACGAAAGTCCAATTTTAGATCTCCTTCCATCGATTAAGGAGTTTCCAACTGATTTCTTGCGATGGTTGACTGAGCGAAACCTTTCTGCTGATGGTCGTGTAATGCGACTTAAAGAAGGGTAAGGACGCTTTTTTAAGTTTTAAATTTACTTATTTATTCATTGGATTATGCATGATTCTAACCATTGACAGTTAATTGTTTTCTGACGGGACTGTCGTGTGTTGCTCGTGCTTAGTAATTATGGGTCGCTTATATATATATATATATATTGTTTCACTATATTTTTCTATAATTGGTTTTACTATTTTATTGTAAAGTTCTGCTTCCGCATGTGGTTAATTCGTTATGTAGGGTGCAATGGGATTTGCATTCTATCTAAATTCCCAGTAATTTGGAACTCTTTTATCTGACAGTTATGTTAAGGAAGGGAGCACAGTGACGGTGATGGGTGTTGTTCAAAGGCATGAGAATATTTTGATGTTGGTATCACCCCCTGATCCCATGTCAACGGGTTGCCAGTGGTCAAAATTCATACTACCAGCCACTTTAGAGGGTATTATCTTGAGAAGTGAAGAACCTTCTAAGGCGGATGGGATACCTGTGTAATGAAGTTTTGGTCTTCAAGAGAAAGTTTTTTGTTATTGCTTATCGGACCTTTTGTGAAGTATCGGCAAGAGTATGCGAGGCATGAAGTTTAAGTAGGTTAGATTACCAGCGCACGTGGATCACCTAAGTTAAATACATACCCTGAAAGATATGGGGTCAAGAGTGATCGAATCTACCGATACTGCTCAGTCCTGGAGTAATTCTTTGATCTTTCTGCGGAGCCCAAGCTATGCACTTTCATTCCTCGCGGTAGTGGCACGAAGAGGTACCAGTCATTGTCATTGCATGTTGTTGGAAGTGGATCAATGGTTCCAATTATTTTCTTAGCTGGTGTAGCTTCTAAGCCTATTGCCAAGGTTCTGTGATAAGTCGGGATATGAGTAGCTGTCATGAGCAAGTCGTGACGTTTAGGCAACCTTCATAACGTAGTGGCTACGAACATTGACTAAAATCTAGTTGCACAGAGGGGGAACCTAGTGTTGGTATACACCGTTGATGCAGAACGATGTGTTGCCTTGATCCTGCCTTTGCTGTACATAAGGTAGTAGTGGTAGTAGTACGATGTACTCCATGGCTTCTATTGACTTTTGGACTAACAAGGAGCCTTTGTAGTCTACCTGCAATGTAATTTTTGTTGGCGGCAGTTTGCCATTTGTATTGGATGGTCCAGAGGTCTAGATCAACCTCATCTTTTAGGAGGGATGATCTCGAGTTGGAGACGTTCGGCGAAAGATCTTAACATTTTGGTGTTCATGCTTGCCCTTAGCAAGTCTCAAGTGTGGAGTTTATTTTTGGCATGACATACGTCTATGTTTCACCTTGATATTTCGTAGTTGTATGGACCTCGACTTTAGCCTTGCCTTCAAGCGTCTGAGCGAGTGAATTCATCACGTCCAATCTGGATCAACAACCCATACAGTTAAATGTAACTTCAGTCTCCTTCAAACAGTGATAGTGTGTAGATAATTCTTTGACTAGTGGGATGGTCACTGTAAAAATTTTGTGCATAGTGATTCTGGTCATTTTTACACCAGAATGTGCTCCTGTATCGACGGTTTGTCTTTGCGTTGATGAGCATGAGGTGAGTTGAGTGAGCTCCTTTTATGGGTGTCATGTAGGCCATCCAGGACTTGAATGCTGAGCTACTCGAAAGTCATTTGGATTATGCAATTGAACTTTTGTGAAGGTACACAGCTTCTATTTGGGCCTGTAGGTACTTGCAAAATGTGTTTTTTAATATTTTTGAAAACAAGAGAAATATTCATCTTCATTTCCCTTTTTAAAAAAGAACAATAGTAAATAAATGATCAATCCAAACAAATGTTTATTGTTCTGCTCTCTCAATCAAAGATTTGATAGCTAATATTTACAAAAATAATTTAGGGAATAGTTAGTGCTATATCTCCAATTGATATTGTTGCACTCCACATGACCTCCACACAACTTAAATTGACTACAAAGTGTGCTTCTATGCCTAAGGTGCATTTGGCAGCTTGATATTTAACTCCAATACTAATTCAAAAATAGAGTAAATTATTATTGTTATTTTATTTATTTATTTATTTATTTTTGTGTTTTTGATAGCCAGATATAAAAAAACAAAAAATAACTTGTTTTTCTTCAAAATAGTTTGCAATCAATTATTTCATAAAATATTCATTGTCTTTTTGAACTACCACCCTTTCTTAAAGGAAAAAATGTGCAAAAGAAAGAGGCTATTATTAACTAGTTGTTTATGATGAAGTCAAGTGTAACAATATCATGTGGTATGTAGCAATATCAATTGAGGATGTAGCTTTAACACTTCTAAAAAAATAATGTGAAGATTGTTGTGGTTGTTATAACTTTTGAATTAGTATTGTTAAAATTTATAAAAATAATCTTGCACTTGATTAAAGAATCATCAAATAAATATTGATTCCTATAATCACTTTTAAAGGAATGAAGAAAGATACTTTTGATAGCTTAAAATTTAAATGAAATTAGCAATCTTAAATGTATTTATATAGATATTAGGATTTTTCTTGTGCATAATGCACAAATTCCTAAAAATTAAAAATAAATCCCAAAGAAATTAGTAATGTATTCTTAAACTTGAAAAAACTGTCACTCATGTAGTGATTCTTAGTCTTGTTGCAACCCTTGTGCTTCACTCCAATTGTAACTTCTAGTCTAATCACAACCTATTTTCTTCATTTCTGTAGCCTCTTCTATTCTTGTCATGACTTTTAATCCTAGTGCAAGCCCTTTTCACATTACACACTTTACTAAAGAAACTTGGGACTTGGGACCTAATAAGACCCCTAACCAAGTTTTAGGCGGACAATTGTTCATTGCATTATATATTACAATGCTATAATTTATGTATGTAATTATTTTATTTTATTTTATTTTATTTTAGTAAAAAGACATGATACTAGGTGTAAAAATGTATATTATATTTATAAGCTAGCATTCAAAAATCTCAAAGATTTACAAAATTATTTTGCAATCTATAGATTTTAAATAATAGATTAAAAGTGGAAAATAAATAAATAAATAAATGACAAGAGTTTTGAGGGTCTAGTTTCAAAGAAGAATTTATTTGAGATAAAAAATTAAAATAAATAAACCTTTTAGAAAATTTTGGTTTATATTAAAAATTCTGAGTTTTTAATTTTTACTAAACTTCTAATTATTATTTTCAAAAAAAGAGATAAAAACACCAATTTATTCTAACCTTATAAATAATAGTCAAATCTCTACTTTAAAAAATATTTTATTATATGTGATTAAAAAAAGATATTTAATAAATATTTTAGTGGATTCTTTTAAAATTTTAGAATGTTGGCATTTATTATAAGTTCTTTTTTTACAATTCATTAATATAAAAGAAAATAATGTATATGATGTTAATTAATTGTTCTTTGTAGACAATTTCATTTTCTTCTAGATTCTTTTAGATTTATTTTATATGTAACTGTCTCTTTATTTGGAAAATAATTAGAAATAATCAAAATCAGTCAACTTTTTAATACTAACTTCTAGTTAGTTTAAAAAAGTGAAAATATAAATAAAATCGGAAAATTAAAAACTTAGACACCAAAACTTAAGCTAAACTTAGACAACAAAACAATCCAAAATTTAAGATAGTATGAGGTGAAATTAAGTTAAATTTTAATTTAATAAATGTTTTGGTTGAATATTTTGTATTTTTTGGCTTGCATGTCTTCTTATATTTTACCATGATTATTACATCTTCTTTTCTCTCTCTCTCTCTCTCTCTCTCTCTCTCTATATATATATATATATATAATACATATCTTTTTATCTATTTTAATTTTGTTACATAAAAACATTTATTATATGTGTTCAAACATTAAGTTGTGTCCTCACAAACATTCACCAAAATTCAGTTCAATTTTAAATAAGTTGAATATCAATAATTATACATGTAGTTTTTATGAGTTATAAAAAGAAGAAAAAACAATTTTTTTAAAAAATTTGAATTAGAAATATTTTCAAAACATCAACAACAAAAAATTGAACAATCAAATAAAAACAATCATTTAGTTTATAATAACAATGCAATGTTCTAGAATTACACACATCAATATTTTTCTTAAGTGAAATGTTGGTCACTTGATCTATGTTGCTATTTAAATGCATAGAAATGATCCTGTGAATGTTTTAATGACTTCTATTACAGGTTTGCAAGAGGCAATGAAATTAAAGCTCCAACGTACAGAAGGTCACCTTCAAGAATAAGAGGTAGAGATAGGGACAACTTGCCATCTGATGATGTAGACATGAAGAGTAATGGGCATCTAGCCACTTAGTTCTAACGCTAGCAAAGGAAACGCTTGAATAAGATGATTGAAACAACAGCTTTCCTTAATTAACTTTCTTAGAAGATGAACACATCTCATGGAGCACGAATGTAAGTCTCTGCAGCTGAAGAGCAACTTTCGCAGAAGAAAGAGAGCATCATTTCCCTTTTGCCACATTCTGCAAGATAGTACTGCCAACCCATGCTAGACTGACTGGATTCTCTGGACCAAGTTTGATACGAGTCTTGATACTACATGATCATCACCGTTTCGGGTGGATATTCGTCAAATTCCAAAACCTCAATAGAAAACCTAACCTCGGTACAAACTGGTTTTAAATATTGGGAATCTACTGAGAGCATCGGTTTTTAAGTTAGTAAGATTATATTTTACACAAAGACTCGTATAATCTAACTTATCCAAGAGAATCAACTCAATCTTAGCGAATTTCATTCCCGAGCAGAAGATTCACATTGACCTATACGGATGGACTAGTGCATTGACCTATGCGCATGGACTAGTGTTCCCGTGAGATTGTAAAAAACATGGATTGCATGTTGTGAGATTGATCGGGTATGAAAATTTTAGTGAGAATGAGAGGGTGAGGAGATTTTCATATACAACCACAGAGATCTATAACAAAGAAAAAGAACAAAAAAAGAAAAAAGAAAAAAGAAACCCACTGAATAAGCGGAATTAAGTAGCGAATATTGAAAGCTGTCCCAAAATATTTATCGTCAAACTTTCAAATATTCAACAGAAACATCTCGTTCGTTCAAGGTTTGACACCAATAAAGTGCCACAAATTCAGTATAAAATCAAGCCAGTTGTAATACTCATCCTTCAATTCCAGTAGACAAGACAGGTGAGAAAACACAAAATGCGATCTTCCTATGGTTCAGTTTCGTGCGGACAGGGTTTAACTGGATACTAACTTGTAACTACTTGGAAACAAACACAGTAACTATACAGACTCCAGTGGCTGTGGTATCTCTAGGTCAGGGTCAAATCCATTGCTCTGGAGAACCCAAATGTACATAATCTAATAAGCTTGACACGCTGTCAAGAGTGTGAGGATCCTCGAGCACTAGGCTTGGACCTAATTAAGTTCCACACCTAGTTAAACTGACTAAAAGAGAGATCCAAGATTAACTACAAAGCTCACCAAATGCCATGTGAAAGGTCACAAAAAGTATTTCGCTAGACCAGATTAGCGCAGAGTAACATACCGATTAGTACCATGCTTGGCCCAATGCTCCCTAAGATCGACCGGTAGATTGATGTTGACACCTTCGGACACTAGCTTCTCCAGAAGCTTGTCAAAGGCTCCAGCACTCATCTTCCGCCCTGCCAAGCGTGAGCCTCTCTTCTTGGGGTTCAGAGGCAAGGGAAACATAGAGATTAACGTTGTGCAACAGGCTGATTGCCAGCCACCATTTCCCCACCTATAGCACTGCTGGTTCATACCCGTGCAAGAACAGTACGGAATGGGAGTGGGTACAGTCTGAGATCGAAATATTCTACTGCTTACAAGCTCTGGCTCCCTAATCTGACCTCCCTCTTCTTCATTAGCAACCTGGGCCTGACTCTCCCGTTCTTGCACTGGTTGCTGACCTTGGTGTGTTACAGGCCAATTCCGTGATTTCTTAGGTGCTGCTCGGGGATGTTTACCCCTATGAGTGGCTTCTGCCATTTCGGTCGCCTTCCTTTTCGTTCGTACAAAAATCTCTATTTGTGACTCCTTGTCCCTACTAAATCTGTGTACACCTTGCAAATGTGCAGAATCAGGATCTAAAAGCATGATACCTGAATGTGATGGATTGGCTGCAGTCGGGTGGAATTCAGATGAAAATGCGCTATGTTCTGCAAGGTCCATCCGCTGTAATAGTTTAGATCCGTGCATCGATTCGTCCAATGCCGTCTGGGATGGTCTTCGACCACGTCCAGAAGACTTCCTTTCGAGTCTAGCCAGGGCAGCCAAGGCAGCGTCTCGGGTCAAAATTGCTGCGTCTCTATCTGCAGAAGCGATGTCTCGCTGCAAGATTGCAGCGTCCCGCTCAGCATATGCTGCCATCTTCTCTGCTAAAGCTGTGCTCTTTTCCATTAATGCTGCGTCCCGTTCGGCAATGATGTCCATGATCTCAATGGAGCTGGCGCTCTTGGAATGAAGACAAGAACTTTCCCAATCGACATCCATTTGAGCTGCTAAATCAGCGGGACCTCCTTTGAAAATTGCCTACATCAGAATACCAATACCATGTATATCAAACACAGATGCTGAATAGAGATGAGTGCTACGCTCATTGTGACGAAAGGGAGTAGATATGATTGTGAACCCGTTAAAAGTAGTTCTACAGGATTGCCAAACCTCTATTAAAAAAATAAATTAAAAAACTTTAAAGTTAAGTTCTTAAGATCACGACAGAAATATGATTGGAACATACTAATACCTGCTCAATCAACAAAACCCAAACAGGAACAACACAGAGCCCGTTACAAGAAAACGCTTCAAAGTAAACAGTAACACTGGGTACGGTACCAACTGCTTAAATTAAAAGCCTGACATGTCGGAAGCATGTCCAAAAGTGCAACAGGTTGCAGTACATCTGACAAAAAGTAAATTATAGCCTGATGTCTTACCTTGTGCCCTAATTCTTACATTGGCAATTCTGACCACGAAGTTTAACACACCAAAATTACCCACGAAACCGAATGCTATTGTAATGAAATTTATTATACACAACATGTAACTTTGAATATGTACATACACACACACACATATTAAATCTCCATATATTCACCAACTTACCACTTCAGTCTCTGTCTTTCTGATATCATGTGCATTGCATATCCAATTGTGTAGTCCTCTTAAGTATTCCCCCTGCAAGGTAATATAGCCATAAACCAACATGTAAATCAATTGGAGGAGATTTTATAAGAAAAACACTGTAAAACATTAAAAATAATGTTTATAAATATATTCTAACTTCCTACTACTTAGTAACACGTGCGGGCATCTGACAATTAAAACCAAATTCTTCATCAGCTTACAAACCTGGGATAGTTTTTCTTTACTGTGAGGGCTTTTCTTCAGAGCGAGTTGAGCAGCTTCAATGATCTGTAACACAGGTTTCAAACTTAACTACTACACAAATTAAACATGCCTGCTGTACCTTCAGGATCTTAAGGCCTACGATGTCGCAATGTGAATATTATCCGTAGTGTACTAGCAAGTGGAGACTGCGATTAAGACACAAATAGTTCACCTATGCAAAGAACTCAGCAGAAAAGAAATACTGCTAGGTTTTAGCGGCTGTCAACAAGACCTGTCAGAGAAAGATTGTAAATACCTTGAGATTTTTGGAACGTTCACCTAATGATGACAAGCCATCTAGAACATGTTGGTAGATATACTCAGGACTGCGCGCTTGCTTGAAAAACGGATGTCTCAGCAGCTGTTCTGTTGTTGGACGTCTTGAGGGGTCCTTGGCAAGGCAAATTGCAATCATGTCTTTGAAGGACTGCACATAGTAGATTGAGCTATCAACATACTTGCCAAAACACCCAAAACATTCAACCGATTAAGTACATTAAGTGCAGCGAATCGTTCAAGGTATTGTAGTGAATTGAAAAATATAATGCTGTGTGCATGTGTTTACCTTAGAGAACATTTTGAAGCATGCACAATTCATCTCTGAGATCTTATTCTGTAAAGTATTGAAGAAAACCTGATCCATAACATTGGGATATAATTAAGTTGATAAGACTGACGGCCCTTGGACAATTCATACGTGTAACCTGGTTGAAACATAAAAGAAAATGAAAGTCTCACAACATTTCCTTCAGGTTCAAATGCATATTAATTCTAATGCTCCTGAACAATTTAGCTTAAACCATCTGTTCTATGTATGCTACAGTTTTCAAAGAAAATATCTGAATAAATTACGTCTGTCAGACTAACTTGTGACAATAAACTAGAATGCAATGCGGTATTCGTAATGAACTTTCCATTATATTTCAAGATGTGATGAGTAGACCGATTCCTAAAACGCTGAACGAGTACAATTAATTATGAATCACCTTCATAGGATACTTCGAGAAGGGGACAATCCCATGCACAAGCTCCAATGCCGTAATTCCAAAAGACCATATATCAGCTCTGCAAAGACAAGACAACACCCCCAACAACATAAACACCTTGAACTATCAACACTGGCTTCCAGCTGGCTGCTCCTTCAAATCCACTAAAATTTACACAATGTTGTTCCTCAGTGGTTGCCTTACTGTAGAACCGAGCGCTACTAGGAATAGTTGCGATGATGAAAAATTCAATCTATGGATGTTCACACTTAGGAAATTGAATATGGTTACACAACTTACTTGGAATCGTACAAATGAACTTGCTCAATCATCTCTGGAGCCATCCTGTAAAATACATCCAACAAAGCGATTAGCGTACTTAGCTTAGGGATCATTTCCGAGCATCAATTTAGAAAGACAGAATACAAGACCCTAATCAATCCAAAATAATTATTAAATATCTAATGTGACGTAGCTGCACAAAGTTACAAGTATAAATCAAGGGATCTGACAAGCGACCAGGAGAACTCCATCAAATTAAGCCGCTAAAGAAACTCAATGATATTAACAAATACTATGCTCGAAATCAATGAAAAGGTAAAAAGTGCACACCAGTAACAAGACCTCAGTAAACTGCTTCTTGACTGTTGTTGATCACCTGCATTCAATATACAGGTGGAAATACCAAAATCCGCGAGCTTGACTCGTCCATTCCCATCCACAAAGATATTTCCCGCCTAGCAAACAGAGAAATAAAAGTATGAGGAAGATTGTGATAATCTCAGCGTACTAAACACAAAACAGCTCATACACCGACCAGAGGTGAAGCACTCAGAGCAAGTCCAACTTCTCCAGAAAAATAATGTCATGTTCTCTTTTCTAAGGGGGCCTAGATGGCAAATCAGGAAGCTATAAAAGTTTGAAGAAGCTGAAAACTACTCTAGCCTTTCGAAGGAAGAAGATATGTCCTGCCACTGAAAGAATGTGACTAAGATAAGAACCAGCATGAGCATGAGATCATACAGCTGCAGAGAGCAAAGAAACCTCACATGCCAACAAATTGTGTGCTACCAAAACAACATAACAACATTCTAAACTCCTTACTCATAAAGAGCACACAGTTGAACTGCTCGATGCTTGATCAATGCAATACCTTCACATCCTGATGAATACGGCCATGGTGATGAAGGTAATTGAGACCCATCAACGACTCTTTTAAAAAAGTACACACCACACTCTCGTCAAAACCATTTGAGAAGGCAGCTTTCATAATATCCAAACATGATCCACCAGCCATGAACGGCATCACAACCCAGACATTGTGACTGGTAGTGAAGGAGCAGTAAGCCGTCAGAACATTGGGGTGCTGAATTCGGCTTTTCGACGCCGTCCAGAAGTCGCTCTGCACTCAGAATTTTCGTTTAAAAGATATTCTTATTGAGCATAGAAAACAAGCCAAATGCAGCTAACCAGTTCCTCGAAACCTACAGAAGTCACCAGTGCTAGTATGTCAAGAATAATCAAAGTCCCTACATTCTTCAGCAAGCCCAAATTAAATATATTAAAATTTAAGTGCATTCAATGGACTATAAATTTCTGAACACAAAAAACAACGGCATGTGTTTGGCGAATCCGAAGTGGTATTTTAGGAAGAATCTTCGAATTTCAAAGTACTAGGTTATAAAGCCGTAGATTCAATACGAGATAGGAATGGAGCTGAGTAAATTACTGAAACCCTAATATATTTCTATGTATTTTTTGGTGCAAGTTTCAGTTGACTTGAGGGCATAGGAACTGCACATGGAACTACCCAAACTAACAACATGAAGACATTCATCGCTAACACACAGAGAGTATACTAAAGAGCCAATCAACTTGTGGTTGCTACATATTCCCAACAGCTAAAAGTAGCAAATAGACAACACGGATCCAGAAGAAGGTGGTCTAACAAGAGCAAAACTAAAAAGAATAACAAGAATCACAATAGGCAACCTCAAATGCCTCATAGAATTGAACGACCGAGAACATAAGTACCGAAATTCGGGTGCCCTCGTCAAGCTGCAGCACTTTGATCGCCACCAATTCATTGTAGGGCAAGCACAGAGCACTATACACAGTACAACTAGCGCCACGCCCTAGTTCCTCCATTATCCTGTAATCACTCGCAGACAGAGGATAACCTCTTCTCCCTTCCTCATCACCGCCCTCCTCCCCAACCCCATTCTTCTGCTCCTTCCCCTGCCCCTCCATTGGTGCCCCCAACTTCCAAGAGTAAGCCAATTAACAAACCTACGGCGGTGAGGCCATTTTGCAGCGATACCCCACTAGAGCGTCACGTGACAAGCATCCCTGAAGCTGCTAGACAATCCCTTAAACTCTGAAAATACAAGTTCGTGCAACTAAGAGGGATGTCGTCGACTTGGTGCATGTGTGCAAAGCATTTGCATCAAAGACCAGGCCTTACAGAGCGAGAGCAGGCGCATTAGCCAAGCCTACACGTTCCTCATTCATCCTATTGGCTCATCCATCCATCTTGTCTCGTCCATCTCCTCTGAGAGTCCTTTCGATGAACAGGCTGATTATTGTGTTGCTTCAGTTTGGGGTTTCTGTTTCTCGCTAAATGTGGTAGTAACTGTGAGATGCTGGATATGTTATCGATTATGCTGTGTAACTTTCAACTCTTTTGAAATAGCTTACTATTAAACACTTTTCAAAGATGGCACAACAAATTGTGTGCAAGTGCAGAGAGACTTCCAATTCAAGGAAAATTAGGGTTTGCAGTAAAAGAAGATTGTAGTCGATCGCAATATGGAAGCTGCTCCTTGCAGAGGAATTATTGTTGTCATTGATTGAAGGTTTGGATAACGAAGTTTTAGTAGTTGAGTGGGAGTCTGAGTGGAGCACATTCATGAAGAGCTGGTGTGGAGTCAGTCTGAAAAGCCTGAACGTGACCACCACCACAGTATGGACCTTACCGGCTACAGGTCTTACAAAGTCACTGGACCTCGATGACCAGATAATTTGTCTTCATGCCTACTATCTACGCTAGGAATGGACATGACTGTTGTGAAGATTCAGCTGGACCACATCACCCAGCTAGAGCATATCATTCAGCAAGAACGCAGGGGATTACCAAGGAGCTTGTATGCATCAATCCTGCGTGATGGAGACGGAGTACACTCATCTATGTATCAATACAAATAATTCGCACACACACACAACCTCAGCATTATGCATGTGTTTTATGAACTGATTGTATTTGATGGTTACAAGAGGCCAGAATATTGTTCACCGAAAAAGAAAGAAAAGAAGAAGGAAGGAAGAAAGAAAGACAGAAAGAGAAGAATGAAGACGAATAAGAAGAAGAAGCTAGCAGCGAGAGATACAGATCACCGAGTTCGATCGTGTTTTGACAGGGATTGAGTGCAGATAGAGCTGATCTCTCATTTTTGTCTAGGAAAATCCATCAATTGAAAGTAATTGAAGTAATGGACATGAATGAAAGACTACTTTGTCCACAATTCTGAATGAAAAATCACAATCGGTAAACTCCTTAGCTATTGCGTTTCACAGGATTTTGCAAGTAGGCAGAGGCACAACGCCAAAACCTTTCGACTGTCTGTTGGGTCCTGAAAATCATCGTCCTTGAGACACGCAATTGAATAGTTCTTGATCTCATTACTTCAAAGTTACCGAACACTCAACAATGGTGGATACCTTCACTCTTGTATGTGAATTATCCTCAAAGAAAGAAAACCGAGAAGAGTCAACTGGGACCTTGATCTGAGTAACACTTCTTTCAACTTTTCTTATAAACGGCATGCCACCAAGGTCAACCTACACATCATCCTCTCGTTGCTGCCATTTCTCTCATTCTCGAATTGAAGACACATCACCGAGACTACCTTGCTCATACCGATCATTCCATGTTTCGATGCTTCGATTCCCTTGCCACTTTCTAATGGCTGACTCTCCAGCCACCGCACATTCTGCATCTCCCGTTGAAAGTCTTCGAGCTTTGTGGCAGATTTTGCTTCTGTGGTATATTTTCTGTAACGGTTCGGAGATTTTCCTGGTTTAGTTCATCGGTAGTCACCGATACCTTACTTTCCTCTAGCAAGAGATTGATTAGGAAAATGAATGCGATCAGATTTTCTTTGGAACTAGGAGTACAATGTGAACTGAAGTAGCAGGTTGATAATCTGGCATTCGAGCATAGGATGGTGGGGTGATTCCAACAGTTTCAATCTAAAGCTTTGTTCAAGCTTTTCCTGGAATGCTGTGTTAATTGAAGGGCAATCAGATTGAACACTGCAATCTGCCAGTTGTATTCCCGAATAAATTAGGTTCTCCAGTTTTCATTTAGCTTTCAAAGGTTTTCGAATGCCACTTCAGTTTTAATGAATTCAATGAAGAAGTGTCACATGTTTTCCATGAAGTTAGATTGCAAAGTACAGGTGTCTCAATATTTACTTTGAAGGGTTTCACTCAAGTCTGATTGTCTTGTATTGTTTTGTTGGACACAAATTGTGACTTTCTTTACTAATACTCTGCTCACTGTGCTTGGAAGCATGTTGATTCTGCAGCGAACAATGAGAGCATCATGATAACGGAAACTAATTGCAGTTTTCTGTAGTCGTCCAACCTGTTGAAATGCGATGCTGAGGAATTTTGGTTTCTTGGTTGCAGATTCTTTTCACTGTTGGCTTTGAGTGGGAATTAGTAATGAATGCATGTGGGCGCCAACATCGTAGAATCAGAGCACTATGAAATGATTACGACGTAGTGTCAATGACCTTTCGTCAAGAGCGAGTAGGTCCTGGAAGAAATGAGCTATGGCCAGAGCCAATGGTCCCATTATAACGCGTTCCACCGTTAAGCTTTAGGGAGGTTGCTTGCGACAGGAGAAACTATCCTCTCGAAGGAGACATCGTCCTAGCAATCCAAAGTGCACTTTAGTTTCGACGTTGGACAATTTTTCTTCGTAGTGTTGTGTGGGTTGTGATAGATTTTAACATTACTCAGGTAGGGACAAGATCAGAGAAGTGACAGCAGGTTTTTGCAAATGGTATGAGAGACATGAGTAGAGAAATTAGGTTTTTTCTGAGGCTGAGAATCTCACTAGCCCCAAAAATGAGAACAAATTTGTCGAACACAGTGGAGGACCGAAGAATTGCAGGGAAGGAGATGGGTCAATTACTTGTAGTAACGGGATCAAGCTAGAGCAAGAGGACAGTGACTCTAAGGCGAGGAGCATCATGAGAGTGCTGGGTCCTTGGACAGCCTGGTTTCAACCAATCCTCATCCAGTGACGTTTCTTGTCAGAGGAGTTTGACTTCTGGTGTGCATATTTTACCCCTTGTCAACGTTGACAGAATAGATGAGACGTCGTTTCTCAAGATTTGGCTGTCACGTTGACAGTTACAGAAACCCAATTTAATTTCCTGAACCACAATTTTTGTACGTACGCCATTTAAAGATTAAACAGGGCCTGCTTTTACAAGAACTTCATGCGGCTACTTCAGACTGTGGAGCTGATAACTCATTTTAATGTGCTTCCATTGTTACGGAACACATTTATGAAATGCTGATAATCTTGCTGCTGGTTGCAGTCATTCGTATGCATGAAGGATTTTCTAATTTAACTATTTGGTACCTGCATGTGTAGAAAGATGAGTGACATACGAATCTATGTTTGTTCACTAACAAGCAGGTGGCAACTGGTGGTCTTCAGCGAGAAGAGCATGATGTAGACAAAATGAATAGTGCTGATAGATAATATTATGCTTTCTTTGTGCTTCAGTCAAAGCATGATTACCTTCACTTGTGTCTGAGCTGAAAGCTATTTTTTCAGGATCTTATGTGCGTCATGGACACCCCGGGATACTACTGTTTGAGGGTGAATGACTTTGGTTCGAATGGATTCTGTTTGAGTAGGGGTATTTGAGCAACAATTGCTGTCTTCGTGGACAATGGCTTACTGCCAGCTCCATCCAAGTAAGTGAGATATTACTGTCATATCATAATGGGTGACGGCTCCCTCTTGGCTTGTGTGGCAGCAGTGTTCAGAATTGGCTGTGAGATAATTGAATTGCTTTCGTGAACTCTTAATTACAATGAGTACTGGTGTCGGTATCATCTCAACAGGATTCTGATAAGATATCACCCTGTGTTTTTGGAGAATTATATATGAGATGGCAGCGGGATATCTTGTCTCTTTCTCTTTTTTTGTTTGTTCAGGTCACTGTGATAGAACTCCGTGTTTAAATAAGCATTCTGGAATCAAATACTTACAATCGTTCTTCCATTGGCACCATCATCAAGATTCTGTACACTCAAATTTTGAAGTTTTTTTCTGTCTGCATAACAAAGTTTTGTTCGCATTAAATAGTTTTGAACTAAGTTCTGAACTCGCTGCGTCATACACTCCTCAGTAGTATACTATATTATTCTTTATTTACATTCTCAAACCTGGATTTGATGTGGAGATTGGTCATTGATCTAATTCGACAGAAATCGTCTGCTGTTACCGATATGAACGATTTTCACAGCCTCGGGAAAATTCTGTGACGTTTGATAGAATACAAGATGTTTATCTTCCTCAATGTTCTCTGTTATCTTTGCTTCGTAGACAACTTTTCTAATGTATTTTTCATTGTACATACTCCAGGATGGTGGTGGAAGGTCGTTTTGATTTGCAATCTACACCTACTGTGGATCTTGCAAATTGAATTCTATAATACAAAGGTAGCCTTCTTTTTCCCTACATGGACGACCTCGACAGAACTCCGATGGAATGTGCTGCTGGTTTTTCAATTGTTACATGCTCATGCAAAATGGATACAGTACCTTTTGCCTTTATGAAAGCCATTTGTTTAGATTCCTAGTTGGTAACAAGACATTGGTAGAAGGTTCAATTTAAGAGTTAAAAGTTCTTTACAATTTAATGAGATCCCCGTTTAGTTTGCCTGGTAAGCAGATTGTTGACTCGTCTGTTTCAAAGTTTTTATTTGGTTCATTTCTACAATGGAAAACCCATGTGACAAAATTATGTTGATATATGCAGGAATCTAGGTTTGGATGAAGATAGATATATTTTGACGAAAAGAATCATGCTAAGGTTCCTCCAAGTCTACAAAAGTCCAAAGTTGGTAAAATTATGCAGTGTTTCATTAATTTCACTACGTTTATCTGACAACAACTATTTGTGATGGACATGTGTTGAACACCCACAAGTCAAAAGTATCTTGCTGTTAGGAAAATTGCTCTAGCCACACATGTGTGGCAAATTTGTTCTGTAGTATTTACTGGGAAAGATGATGCAAGGTAGAAAACATTGGGGGCGGTTGGAGTTACTGATTAGGGAATCTCTTGTACAATTTACTTCAGCCTACCAAGACTAGTTATACTCTCTACTATTTTCCAAAATGGTTTGGTGTTAAGGGAGATTTTATATTTAAAATCTGACCTTAAAAGGCCATGGTTTATAAACATTAACAAGGTTTTTTCTTGGTAAAGAAAAGTTCTTCTATAGAAGCCTTGGCCTTTGGATGTAGTATAAAGTGAGAAGAGGTATGAAGTGAACCAAACCATTTTTTCATTACAAGTTATTTTTTTATTTTATTTTGAACTTAAATCTCCATTCTAACAAATATGAGTATAGATTATTATTTTTAATTTTTAAATAATTATTTAAAGCATTTTCTATCACAAATTTTTAATTTCTTTTAAAAAATCTCTTCTTTGAAACAACCTTAATAGAAATTTTGAAAGATAATATTATTTATATAATATAGAAAAAATATATTATTTATTTATTTATTTATTTTTAGGATCTTTGGATTTTTTTTTTTTTTTTTTTTTTTTTTTAAAGTATAAAGCAAATACAAAGAAGCTTCTTGATTCCAACCAACCAAAACATTTAAAAGTAATAGCCTCTCACCCAATCATTTAAATATAAAGTGCCTTTAACTAGTGCTAAAAATTTAAGATGAAAAAAAATTTCTATCAAATACATTTTGTATCTATAGTAAACTAACATTACATGTAATTGGAGGATATATAATCTCTTAGATGCTTTAATTAATAACAAACTTCTATGCAATCGATTTTTTATTTGAATATTTAAAAATCAATTAAAAAAAATATGTAGATTTTTTTTTCTTGCAACAACAATTGAAAGACTTTCATTTATTTATATTTATATTTATATTTATTTATTTATTTATTTATTTATTTATTTTAATACATATATATATATATATATATATATATATATATATATATATTAATCTTGAAATTTTAGTACTTAGATCAAATAATTTTTAAAAAATAAGAAAGTCCTAAAAAGTCATTGAACAAATAATGTATATAATCAACATAAACAAAATTACACAAACTCATCTCAATATAAGCTAATTCATTTTTTTTTTAATAATTATCAATTTAACTCTTTTTAAAAATTATATCTAATCAAAGTGTATTTTTGAATGAATTATGCTATTGTAATGCCTAATTAAGTATCTCAATTTATCCTAAATAATGTTAGGATTCAAAAAATAAATTGATCTTGAGCAAATGTTACATGATTGTATAAATTCTTTGACTACCTTCTATATTTGAAGCAACCAAAAATATTTGCATATTAGTTTCAAAGTCTTGTTGTATCTAAAATATTATGCTATAAGAAAGTCATGATGAGCTTGAAGAATACATAATTATGTTTTGTCCTTTTGAACATATTGTCATGGAAATACATATTTATTCTGATATTTACCTACATGATTAAGTAGAAGTAGGTAAAAGTAGATTTATTTCATAATATTTCTTATAAAAGCTACCTAACAGCTTCAAAGATGCTGCTTTGACTTTATATGTATTTGTGTCAAGAACAAAAATTCAATGAAAGAAAATAAACAAGTAAGATTCTTTTAAAGAAATAAAAATAAAGAAGTATGTATATTAAAAGAAAAATTAGAATGGCTATTGTCAAAAGACAAGAAAATTAGAGACTCTTGAAACTTCACTAGAAACAGGGAAGAAGTTGACAAGAGTGAAGAAGGCTTTAGTCTTGCCTCTATATATACTATTTATCTAGGATCTATGTGGCGACATTCTATAGAGTCTCTTAAAATAAGTTGACTTTATATTATACATATTTTTATTTGTAAGATAATTTTTTTATAAAGATGCAACATAGTTAGCTTATTCCGCAAGCTACCAATATATGTGGTATATGGATAGCTTATTGACCAAGTTTCTAACCTATCAATCATATACAAAGTCGAAACAATATCTAAGCAGCTTCTAAAAAGCTTTTCTAGAAGTTATAATGAAATTAATCTATTTTTACCTAATTCTACTTATTCATATTATCGAAGTAATAATTATAGTAGATATATCTATGACATTATCCCCATGTCTAAGGACAAGTTCTATGAAGAGTGGTGATCATATGTTGAGGAAGTCTAAGATGTAATGAATTATATTTACTACATACTTTGATCTTTATTACCTTTGAAGGTAATTGATAAGTCTTCTCAGCTATTAGTAATGTCCTATTTTAAAGAAGAAGATTATCCTATAATTTAATTATTGTTGAAACCTTTATAACTTCGTTCAAATAAAATATTTATAATACCATCAAGAGTTGTCTTACTTTCAATAAAATCACCAAACATCAAGAGTCTTTTTTCAAGTTGTGATATTAAATGCGTTGTATCTTGCCATCTATTCAAAGAAGAACATATCGTTCTTAAAGATCTTTATCTCTATTATGTCATCTTAAAGGTTGTGATAATTACAATGTCTAATTTAATAAGTAAGCAAATAATGACTCTTGACTTGAATTTGCCGACAATTGGTTCTCCATCTCCTTAACACTACAATTATTCACAAACTATAAACAAGGATATAACATAGAATGCAATCTTTTTTGAATTTTGTTTCTTTTATATCAAAGGTTTGCTATCCTTCATCTTGATTTTGATGGATGTTGTTGATGAAAAGTCTCTACTATCTTTAATGCATTTGTAAGATTCTTTACTGGCTCTCATGTGCGTTCATTAATATTATATCTGTGCCAATGGACAGGATATTCCAACTTATTTTGGCACTGCCTTTATTCTAGAATTTCTTCTATTTCAAACTCTTCATTGTTATCTACTTCTATAGAAGGAGGTGGAACTTATATTCTTCTTGATATGTTTATAGTCTTGTATAGTTCAAGAAGAGATATGTAGAATACATGATGGATTTTCATTGACTTTCATGGATGTAATTAATAAGCAAGTAGATTGATTTGTCTACAAATAAGAAAAGGTCCAAGCTTGCAATAGTTTAACTTGTTACAAAGATAGGAAGACTTAATACTACAACAAAGTAATTATACCTTATCACCTATATTGAATTATGTTTGTTCTTTTTGATAGTCATCCGAGTTGCTCTTTTGTCCTTCTTGAGCTTCTTTTAATTACACCTTCATTGTTGCATGTAGCTTTGACAAATAATTTGCCAAATCTTTTGTTCCAAGTTTATCAAATTTTAAAAAGTCAAAAATATAATTTATGGATTATAACCATAATTGATAAAAAAAGATATTTTTTGCATAGAAGAATACATCATATTATTATAAGCAAACTCTGCCAATGGCAAGAAGGTTTTTCAATTGTCTTATTGATAATTGATGGTATATCTTAAGTATTACTCAAAAACTTGATTTATGAACTATGTTTATCCATCAATTTAAGGATGAAAGGCCAAAGAAAGTTTTATATCCATCTTTAGAATCTTAAAAAGGATTTTCTAAAATATTAATATAAATTGAGTTGTCCTATCCAATATAATATCTTTCGACAATCTACAATACTGATAGATATTGTTAAAGAAAAGCTTACAAGTTTCTTCACTTGTGATAGAATTTGTGCATAATATAAAATATGTCATTTTGATAAAAAAAATATAATATTATAAATATAAAATCACAAAAACCTAAAACTAAAAGATCCATAATAAAATCAATTGAAATAAAAGACCATGGTTTTTTTGGAATAGGTAATGACTGAAGAAGTCTATAAAGTCGATGACAAGGAGTTTTTGACCTTAAAAAAATGTAACATGATTGAAAAAAGTCTTTTATAGCCTTTTATATTTGTAGCCACTAAACATATTTAGATATTAGCTCTAAAGACTTATTGTATCAAAAATATCTTGCCGCTAGAAAATCATGACGTGCTTGAAAAATATGTAAACATGCTTCTCTTTTTGGAATATATAGGCATCTTTTAAAATAAAGTAGGTTGTTCTTGAACTTAAACTTGGAAGTATTATAAGATTTAGAAGAAGTATTCTTGGTATTATAAACAAGAAGATTTGAAGATATACTTGATTGAATTTGCTTGAAAAAAGTTGAATCAACAATCAATATTAATTTCACTGCTCAAAGATGAAATTATTCTAGCTTCAATAAAATTATTCTTTGTTAATCAAAAGCTACATCTCCTTCTTTTGATACAAGATAAGAATGTCTAAAAAGGACATTAAATAAAATTTATTATATTTCTGGTTGATAAGTAATATTGAACTCAAATCTTGATGAAGATATGCTCCAACAAGCTTAACAACAATTCAAAATACGTACTAATATTAAATATTTGAGGTTTTTTTGATCTATATATATATGATGACTAGACTAAAAGTACCTTCTAATTAATGATGCCATTCTTGATAAGAATCCACAATTATAAAAAATTCTTTGTAGTGGATTTCATAGTTAATCTCAACTGTTGAGGATTTTTTGGAATGGAAAGCTACTAGGTAGAGCTTGTCAACTTCTCCTATTTGTGACAAAACAACACCTATAGTAAAATCTGATGTATATATTTTTATAAAAAAATTACTTTAAAAAGTTGACTTGATACAAGATTGATACAAAAATAAATGTTAATTTTAAAGCTTCAAAAGATTCTTCAGCTTCTTTATTCTAATCAAGTTTGTCTTTGCATGTAAGATATGGATTCATAATTTGAAAAAAATTCTTAATGAAGATTTGATAATAATTTGCAAAGGCCAAAAAAACATTATACATCTCTTACTCTTCTTAGAATCTTTCAATCTATAATAATTCGAACCTTCTTTAGATCCATCATAAATCTTTCATTAGAAATGATATATCTTAGGAAGTCAAGTTGAGTAGTGATAAATACACACTTTTTTAACTTGGCATACAATCTTGCATCTCAAAGTTTTTATAACACACAATACATATAAACTTTATGTTCTTTTATATTCTTAGAATAGATTAAAATATTATATAAATGACAAACAACAAAATCATCTAGAAATTCATAAAAAATAACATTCATAAGATGTTGAAAAATAGCTCGTGTATTTGTAAGTCCGAAAGATATGACATTATATTCAAAGTGCCCACACTTTATTTGAAATGCACTCTTTCATTCATCTCCTTCTTTAATGTGGACCAAATTGTACATTTTTCATAAATCTAGTTTTATATAGATCTTAGCTTGATTTAA